GTAAACAACAACAAACAGGACAACACATGGTGTAAACAACAACAAACAGGACAACACATGGTGTAAGTAACAACAAACAGGACAACACAATATATATAGTGACAATAAAACAGAAGAATGAAACGAGCATGCGTATCGCCTGCCACATTTCCTGCAGAAGTTTCAATCAAAGGTCATGTGATGTGTTGACCCTCAGAGACAGTGTGGAGATGACTCTCACCAACCATCCCTCAAGGTTTTAGCTCATTATCTGTCAAAGTGGCTGAGATCAAGACAGCTGGTGTTTGCTGTTTATTAGTCAGAGGAGGAGGAGTCATGTGGAGGAGGAGGAGTTAGGAGGAAGAGGATCAGAAAACAAAAGAAGAGGAGAAGTGAAGAGAAGCAGATAAAGGAGCCAAAGAGAGAGAGAGGAGTAAGGTGGTCAAAAGGTGATAGAAAGAGGATTCAAAGCAGGAGTCAGTTTGGAGGAGGAATCAAAAGGGTTAGTCTGGTGAAGGAGTCAAGGGGTGAGTGGGTGTGGGAGGAGTCAGAAGTGGAGTTACAGGGGGGTTTACCTGCTCGGGTCACCATGTCCAGCTCAGAATCAGAGTCCTGCAGGTGCTGCATACCTTTAGGGGTGTGGCCAAAGGAGACGTCTTGGCTGTCATTGACTCCACCCACTGCTGCTCCAACACCGACCACAGACGGCTGCAGCTGAGGCTCCAGGTCCAGATCAAACTGCAGACAGGTGAAGACAGACAGCTGTGTCCTCCTTCCCATAAAACTACACCAGGACTATCGAACAAGGTAAAGTCAGGTCCTCTGGATGATTCTTCTTTGTTGAAATGTTTTGTCTTTCATCCAAAGGACTTCTTCAGTCTGAGGAGCAGCAACAAACTCAGTCTTATAAACAGAACCTTCTCTTGGTGGATCAACCAGTTTGTTGTTGACATCCAGAACCAGCTGTTCACATGATCAAGGAGGACCACCAGCCCAACGACCGATCGACAGTGATGGCCGCTTGCTATTCACAGAGGGCTGAGTGATACTAACAATAACAGCATTGTAAGAGTCAAGACTGTTGGACACCTGGACTACTTCCTGTTTGTCTCTTTCAAGGTTGATGGCTGCCTGTCTTAAGCTTGGTTCTGGTTCTGAACTGGATTTATGATTTGGACTTGTTTTTACTTCGGTGCTCTGAGACAACAGCTGATCTGTGCTCGGAGCTCAGCTTTTCCTTCATCTACTGGTCCTACAAAGATTGCTCTGCTGAATGTCAGGTCGCTGACAAATAAAACCTTCATCTTAAACAACTTTTTCTGCTCCAATGGACTGGACTTCATGTTTGTTACAGAGACCTGGCTCGTCCCTGGTGACTTAAGTGTTTTTTCGGAACTTTTGCCGGTGGATTGTGCCTTTTTTAATGCTCCAAGGACTTCTGGTAGGGGTGGTGGATTATTAACAGTTTTTAAAAAGCTCTGGAACTGCAGACAGCTACAGGCTGTGACATTTCAGAGTTTTGAACTGCTGTACTTTGAGCTGGGCCGCTCCAACCCAACACTGTGCTGCCTGATCTCGTACAACAAAAACATCATAAGTGAATTTTCTGACTTTCTGACTGGAATACTGCTCAACTACGACAGGGTTTTCATTCTGGGAGACTTTAATGTACATGTTTGTTGTCCTGACCAGCCTTTGGTGCAGGAGTTTCTAAATCTGATACAATCGCTCAACCTTGTGCAAAATGTTGTTGGTCCAACCAGGGCCATACACTTGATTTAGTTCTGTCTCACGGTTTATCTGTGGTTAATCTGGAAATTGGGGATGCTATTGGTTCAGATCACAAACACATTTCATTCCAAACCTCTGTTATTCATGAGTCTAAATCCCCCGCTCCAGCCAAGAGTTGTCGGATATTTAACTCTTCAACCGCTGCTCTTTTTTCCTCTGCATTCATTACTGATGTTGCTTCAGTCCCTGAAACCTCTGCCTGTATTAGTACGCAGGAGCTGCTCAGTAGGCATGATGCGACCTGCTCTAAGATTTTAGACCTCGTGGCCCCGCTAAAAATCAGGCGACCAAAGCGGGCACCACACTCCTGGTTGAACGCGACCACTCGTGCAGCCAAACGTCTACGCAGGAGAGCTGAACGCAAGTGGAAAAAGGAAAAATTACAGGTTTCTTTTATTATGTTAAAAACATGTTTGAAAGATTATCAGAGCATCGTTAAATCTGAAAAGAACAAATACTTCTCCCAAATCATCGCTTCAAACAGTCATAATCCCAGTGTTCTTTTTAATACCGTAAATTCCATTTTAAACGTGCCTCGGTCTGCCAGCATGGAGGCCTCCGTTGACATCTGCAACAACTTCACCAGATACTTTGCTGATAAGGTAGAGTTGATTAGGTCATCCATCCCCCAGTCCACAACTGATCCCTCTGTCTTTGTCCCTTGCTCAGCTGTCTTCAAACAGTTTGAACCCATTTCACTCCCATTTATAAACAGTCGTTGATCAGATGAAACCCTCCAGTTCCCCCGCTGACCCCATTCCTGCGTCGTTTTTCAAACAAGTTCTACCCACGATTGGACCCTCTGTTCTTACTATTGTAAATAGTAGTATGGTGACAAGTGTGGTTCCAGATGTTTTCAAACATGCAGTAGTTCATCCGTTAATTAAGAAACCTGGACTTGACCCTTCGACCTGCTCAAATTTCAGACCAATCTCAAAACTTCCCTTCCTGTCCAAAATCCTGGAGAAAATAGTTTTCATTCAAGTAAACAAGTTTTTGAATGAGAACAGAATCTTCGAGATTTTTCAGTCTGGTTTTAAGCGACTCCACAGCACTGAAACAGCATTAGTGAGGGTTTGTAACGATATTATGATCTCAAACGATTCTGGTCATTTTGTGGTACTTGTGCTCCTGGACCTTACTGCTGCTTTTGATACTGTTGACCACAGTATCCTTATATCACGGCTGGAACAGTGGGTTGGGATCACAGGTGCTGCATTAGAATGGTTCCACTCATACCTGAGTGGCAGGAGTTTCTGTGTCAAGGTTGGTAACAATGTATCCGCCTCATTACCTCTTTCATGTGGGGTCCCACAGGGTTCGATTCTTGGACCCCTTCTGTTCTCACTTTATTTGCTCCCACTGGGGTCCATCCTGAGGAAACATGGTCTTTCATTCCATTGCTATGCTGATGACTGTCAGATCTACCTGCCTGTGAAACCAGCAAGTGTTTGCTCCATTCACCCTCTGTTAAAATGTCTGGATGACATTAAGGCCTGGATGGCTTCAAATTTCTTAAGTTTTAACAATGAGAAGACCGAAGTCATTGTTTTTAGCCCTAGCTCAACTGCCACCACTGATCCTGTCAACCTGGACTCTCTTCAGCCATATCTGAAGCAGTCTGGTAAAAATCTCGGGATGGTTTTAGACTCTGACTTCAAGTTTGACAAACAGATCAACTCTGTTCTGCAGAAAAGCTTCTTCGAACTCAGACAGGTAGCTAAGCTCAAGTCAGTGTTGTCCAGACCCGACCTTGAGAAACTAGTCCACGCCTTTATCACGACCAGATTGGACAATTTCAATGCACTGTATGCTGGGATCAGCCAGGCCTCCATCTCACATCTTCAGCTCGTCCAGAATGCTGCTGCTCGGCTTTTAACCAGAACTCGTAGGTCTGAACATATTACTCCAGTTCTGTCCTCCCTTCACTGGCTCCATGTTCATACGAGGATAGTCTTTAAAATTCTTCTGTTGACCTTCAAATGTTTAAATGGCCTCGCACCCCGTTACCTCTCAGAGCTTCTGGAACCTTACGTTCCCTCTCGGGCCCTGAGATCAGCTGATCAGCTGCTTTTGGTTGTTCCAAAAACAAGAAGCTCAGAGGAGATCGGGCTTTTTCAGTCATGGGCCCCAAACTCTGGAACAACCTGCCCCCCAACATCAGACAGGCCACCTCCCTTCAACCTGCCCCCCAAC